CACAGACTGTGAGACTTGAGTGCATTCAAAACGTTTCCATCATATGTTTCGATCTTGTTTATTCTGTGTAACTCAACGCTGTAACGGCACTCCGAGTTTCCTCAATAACTATCAGTTACGCACTGTGATTTCATGCAATCGTCTTTTTTTCTTGTATTTCTTCCGTCTTACCAACCTTTCATTCTTTCCTCACTTCGTTTTCTTTGCACACTCTAATTGTGGGTTCAGTTTTTCGCATTTGCATCGCATCGTATCGGTCCAGCATTACATTTAAACGAGCAGTTGTGGTTCCTCACTCTTCTAGTATTGTTTTGATGATGTTCTTCGTCATAATGGCAGTCCCCATATATTACGCCTTTTCCCCTCATCCCATTTCTTCTTTTCAGCCAGTTGTGAAGCTCACCATGAACCGATACAACAACGTCTTCTCCTACACAAGGTGAGTCACTGCGTTTTCCAGTTTGTCTTTGTAAACGTGTTGATTTACACACCAGGGAACCAGCAAAATCTAAACCTTGGATGTTTTTGTTAGGAAATAAGCGACGAACATGTACTTCCACATGTGAACATCACTACGTTTTAATGACATTATTCTTCTCTGTGCAAATTGTCGTGTTTCCACGCTTTGGGGCACCTCGTCGGCGCATCGTATACATCGTCAGTTCAGTGACCTTCCTCTCTGAGCAGGCTGCCAGATAGGTTCATCTACTCACAGAACCCCCTTACTGATTTCCCTTCTTTCTCTTTCGGTGCAAACCTTGTCCTTCTTGATCATCAAACAAGACCAACCATAGCATCACAACCTACGCTGATAGTTTGCCTAATAAAGTTCATCCACCCAAAGATCTCAATTCACAACGCATCATACCCGCAAGACTGCACCTCAATGTGGTATGATAGTTTGTTTATTCCCGCGATCCTTTAAGTTGCGTTTTGATGGTACTTTCCAAGCACAGTCAAATCTGTCTAGCGCGACCACTCAAGGGACCGATAAAAAATGGTCACCATGGAATGGTTCATGCATACGGACATTACCCATAGGAGAAAATGTTGGGGATGTTTTTGGATGATCGCCATATTAGGTTGGACTGTACTTCCAGCACCAACCATACCAAACAGACCGATAAGTAAGGGTCTCAACTCTCTTTTTGCGGAGAAGTCGATGTCACTCTTCTTTCCCTACGTACCCATGCGAGGAACCAATCTACGGATGATAAGTATAATTCCATTGGCTTAGAGTACGGGTACCACGAGTTGTCTCTGACGCTGAAGGCGCATTACTCTTACTCATGGGCTTGATACCGCTTGCCTCTGACAAGGCACTCTTTGGGCAACTGGTTGCGAACCCGGGAACTCCCATCATCGGTTGGCCACGATCGCAGGTGCGTAATCTACTACAGCTAAAGAAACATTTATTCTGGAACTTTGGGGCGGCTTGTGACGGACATCAGTCAGATTCTGACGGAGCTCCGCAGTCACACTCCCGAGCTGTATGTGCTCCCAACTACTCTGTGGGTCTGACTATTGAGTCAAAGTTCAGTTCAGTTCAATTGAACAATTATTATCATCCGAACACCGAAGTGCGTTGAACCCAGTTTCCACAACTCACATCTCCAGAAAAACAGGAAATAACAACGACAGTGAAAAGAATTTGAATACAGATACTCGTAAATAACGCCCATGGAAAAGTAAACATAACGTTGCAAAAAGATCTCTTTTCGACAATTCACATCAGGCAAATACAATTATAGGACAGACGAATTCAACAGTATGTATGAAAATGGGGTCACGAGGGAAGTACGTTAAACTAATCACGATGGGAGGGAAATGCCCGGATAGACATAAGAAACCACTGCCTGCGCGACTGCGTAATATCTGAAAACGTTCTTCAACCATTGATCAGGACCATCCCGGCAACCATCCAAGAAGACGGCACGCACCAGTCTGACCAAGTGTCTCAGCCTATTTCTTCAAGCCACGTCATGGATTGGCCACCTCGAACGTTTGATCAATTTGGCACAGCCACGTCATCCCATGCACGCCGAGGAAGCCAGTCGACCGGAGTATAGAGGGCATGACCTTGCTAAGGTAGAGGATTAAGATTCAGCAAACACTTGAGTGAGGCGCCAGGTTTCTGACGGACCTGACTGACGGACCTCAGCATTGCTCACCAAACGTGAGCAATACTGCACAAGCACCGTTGGTCAAACACGCCCAAGCGTTTAATGTCTTCGCCACGAACTGGCCAGGTCTCTGATCCACATAGTATGACCGGCCTTACCGCGGCGTTTTACACCCTACCTTTCACTGAAAGGCCGACATCCCGCAGTATCTATATATGGTTGAACCTCTAAAAGCCACGCGGGCTTTTTGATACGCGAGGTAACTTCAGTGATTTGACCACCCAAGGTGACAGCTATCAAAGTCAGTGGACCGATCTAGCACTTCCAGTGGCTGTTCGGTGATAGCTAGAACCGCTGGCGTATCGGTCCAGTCCTGCAACATTACTCTGAATTTCGAACGCGCAACACATGCTGACTAGACTGGACATTAAGGTGGTGCGATAGTTTACGTGTCTCCGCGACCCATTGAGTTACGTTGCGTGTCTTCAGAGCAGCTCATACCAGACAGGTTAGTGTTTACTGGTCAGACTAACTCATTCTCACTATTGAATCCTCTCTAGAAGTTAGCGAGTAGTCGATCGCCCTCTTCCGTTAAAGTTTAATCACGGAATACAACGTGTTTACGAGTTATAAGCGCACGGCTAGATTGGCATGGAGCACAAACGCCATGCGCGGACTCTGACGATAGGTGAGCACTTTCTGGTACTCAGTAGTTTGCCACCGCCCTATCTTTTCTGATGCAGCTGCCAAGATAATTAAATCGACCAACTATATTGAGTTCCTCGTTATCAAGTGGTTGGTAATCCTGCAGCAACACTGTACTTTGGACGCGCGAAGCACATACCAATTAATGGGACCACTCTAGTGAGGCTGATTTTGCCGCCCCACCATCGTCAATAAGCAAGACGTTATCGTTAGCATAATTCATCATCATCATCATTACACGTTAGCTGGAGGTGGAAAACACCTCAGCTCTTGTGCCGCAATACAAAAACAAGAAAAGGAAAACAAACAGTTAATGGCAGCTAGCCTTTCGTCAAGCAGCACATCGACGCATGCGTCGTGAGATTCCGCAAGCGAACACTTCACAATAGAGTCCACAAAGAAATTGAACATGAACGAGGTAATCGGACAACCCTGACGAACGCCACTTGTTGTCGGAAAGCTATCCGACAGGTCACCATAGACCCTGACGCGGCCTGTAGTGTTCGAGTATAGAGCACGTAAGATGTTCACATATTTCGTGAGAACACCTTTCCGCACAGGTATTTCGAACAGAAAGCATTGATCGACTGAATCCAACGCACTCTTAAGATCGAAGAACACATCTATTGTGGGTCTGCGGTATGCGTGGCGCTGCTGTAGCATCTGCCGCAGAGTGAATGTATGGTCTTTACAGCCACACGCTTGCTCTTCTCTAATACGAGATTCCCGATCCACAGTGAGGCGACGAACAAGAGTCGAGGCCAGTAATTTTGTCAATTGTTGTTAGGCTAATAACCATGTCATTGACACAGTCTGTACGACTGCCCTTGTATATTCTCACGATAATCGATTCACTCCAGTTAGCCGGGTCACTCTTTTCCTTCTAGACATGTTTAGACAGGGAGGTCATTGCTTTGCAGTGGACCTCACCTCCGTCCTTAAATGGGCAGGTGGGAGAGAATCCGGGCCAGCAGCACGAAAACGATTGAGGGCTGTGATCCTGTTTCGCACCTCAGCCTCCGATGGAACTTTTACCTAACCTTTCATGGCTCGTCCTGCATCACCTGAGTAGGACGTCCAGCAGCAGGGTGCCAACTGAACTGCTCTCGTACGTGCTCCACCCAATGAGCCATACGGCACTCCTTATTGTGTATCAGTTCACTTGCGCTGTCTGATTGTCTCACTGACGACCGGTTTCCTGGGTCCAGTGACGCAGATCACCTGTAAGAGCTTGCGGTAATTGCTTACTGCTCCTGCCTGCTCCATTTCTTAAGCCAGACTGGTCCACCAGGCTTCCTTGTCAGCACGTATTCTCCGCTTTACTTCGCGCCTACTAGTCCGTCTGGTCACACTGTGCTCAGAGTCAGCCGGGAGTTTTCTTCTGCATTCCAACAGGTTCACCGACCTCTCGGATATCCAGTGACTGATGCGGTGACGATTGATAGTACCACAAGCAGATGCTCTTGCGTGGCGGCCGAGATCCTATTCCATTGAAACTCAATGTCTTTGGACAAGGGAGCGAAAGTTCGGTACGCAGTGCGTCTCGATAGGCCTGCCCGAGGTAGTTGCCTCCTGAGACAATTTCTCTGTTGCCATTCGCGCGAGACTCTTGATGCGCTTCCCGGTAAAGTTCATAGAGAAACGACAGCGTGCCAAGGCATGATCAGACGACGCAGATATTCCAGAACGAGCGGCAATCTAGAATGGAACCACGCCACCCGTAACTTACGGCAATGCGATCAATTTTGGCCCACCGCTGGCCAGCTTCAGAAGGACTCCAAGTGGCACTTCGGCGCCCACTGTGTCTAAATGCAGTGTTACTAAGGAACAACTGGTGCTCCGCTCGCCGTTGTCATTCCCGTCAGGGTTAAGCCTATAATTACCACCTAGCCAAACTTCTGAAGAACCCTGACGCCTTACTTGTGCATGCATATCCCCTGCAAGTACTATGACCTATGAACTGGTAGCATTGCCTAGTAGCGTTTTCATTGCGTGATAGAATATGTTCTTGGCAACACCAGAACTGCGTTCGGTGGGAACTTAAGCGGAAATCACAAACAAACAGCGTGATGCAACCTTACCTGATGTCATCAAAGGGGCTGCACGGAACGGCTATTCACCGGAATCCAACCAACCAACGATGGCTCAGCCTTGGCCTACTTGACCCGTGAGCGTTGTATCAGCGTCTCCGGATGCGTGCAACCAATAACAAGTGGAGGGCAAGCTGGGCGTAATTATTTTAACAACCCCATTAGAGTCATTGCTCCTGATTTCGGACACCCAACACATGTCAATACCCAGTGTATCCAACGTGCGTGCGAGCGTAGCCTGTTGGCCGATTTAGCTTTGTTGTACTGCTGCTTTGCTGCTCTGTGATACTGTGACTGTCTGACTGCTCAGTCACGCGCGAAACCAACCGATGGAATACAAAAGGCCAGAACTTGGTTGACAGAGGGTACATCTACAGGGTAGATCAAATTTTATTTATTGGTACACGAAACATGCTTATTTTGGAGGTAGGGATCACTCACACTTTTGCCTCTGATTTTCAGCCATTGTGAGTGAATTCCGCTCCACGGGAATAGTTCGATCTCTTTGATGCGGGCTTGTATTTGCTGGCCGATCAATTCACACTCGATTCCCAAATTTGGCGGAAAGGTCAGAGGTCGTACCACGCCCGTGCTGATGATCTTTGCATGTAGTAGGCAGCCTACGTACCCTGCTTACGTCTCTAGAGTGCGAAGGTTGAACGCCTCCAGGGAAACAGAACAGCCTGGCCTTATAAGGGACTGTTGCCGATAGGCGTCTCGTAGGTGTTGCGTTAAGGTGGCTGCAGATGGTTCTACTCCAGTGGCACAGTGGCTGCTGTCAATTAAGCTGGTAATTATAGAAAGAAGATTAATAATGGGGGTTGGGATAAGTGTAAGAAAAATAGGTAGAAAAGAAAGAAAGGAGGCGCCAGCAGCAGCATGTTTTCGCTTGTCCGCCTTGCTGTAGTCAGCAGATAAGGCGACCCATGATAATCTGTGCGACGGTGGTTGCAGGATATAGTTAGGGTTTGGGGGATTTGTCATGGTTTTATATGGGCTGATATACTGCCAGGACGCCCAGACCTAGACAGCAGGACGATTAGGGTCCTCAGCCAAAGCCTTTAGGTCAAAAGCCCCTCCACAAGGCAGCGGAGAGTGGCAATGACTTAGTTTTACAGAAATGGACGCCATCCCATTTTAGACCCCCAACCTGGAGAACCAGGAGACTGAGTTTGTCTGATCTCTCACCATTGACCAATCTGGTGAGAGTAGCTCTCAATCGCCCTCTTGATAAGCTGTCGCCATCGGCGCCGATCCACTGCTATCACTTCCCAACACTGGCTATCAACGTTTGTTCGTGATAAACTCAATCTGGTCGTGTCCTGGTAACGTAACTTCAGTTTTCACACGTGCCGTTTCCCTGCACGCAGTTGCCATAAAGCGGCTGTTTCGGTATGCGCGTCGTATCCGTGCGGTGGACATGCCCGGTTTACCTCAGATGTCACAGTAGAACTGTGCAGTCCACTGCATACATGCCATTGCGGCGCAACACCTCTGACTCAGCAACTCGGTCATCCAAGCTGATGCGCTGAATATGGCACAGGCACTGTTGTTGAAATCGTTTCAAATACCGGATGCCCTTCTGATTAAGCGTCCAGATTTCGTGCCGCGTAGAAGAACGAACAGCATAACCGACTTGTATACCATCAACGTCTTCCCAGTGGTCAACTGATTGTTCCACACCCGATTCTCCGGCTTTCTACCTGCGGCAGGTGCCTTCGATACACGGACGCGCAATTCACTCGTCACTTGCAGCGTGGTCGTTACGAATCTGGATTTGGGGTAGAGACAAGGACTCCGTTTCTAGTGAAGGTTGAAAACGACAGTCTTGTTTGTGTTGATGGTGGGTCCGAACGTGACCGCTGTCGAAGGGGGGCCGTCGTCATACGCTGCAAATCATCCGCACTGTGTGCGAACAGCACAGTCTTCGGCAATCGGCAATATACGGATGGTTGCCTCACTCACTAGGGTCCTCGCACTCAAACGACGGATGTTCAGCAACCTACCACCAGTACACGGACCCCGTAATCGCAAACAGCATCGAAAACACAAGATATCATTGCACTTTTATGAATGTTAAACAGATCAAGGACTAAGACAGTGTTGCTTCACACCAGGACATTAGTAAAGTCATCCGAAGTTTGTCCACTCGTTTGCACCCTCGCCCGCATACCAGTGCAGATATACACTTTGACTTACAAACTAACCCAATACATGCCACAGTGCCCCAGGGTTCACCGTGTCAAATGCTTTGGTGAAGTCGACAAACAGTGAGTACAATAGCTGACCTCGCTCTCGGCATTTCTGCTGCAATTGACAAGCCGCGAACACCATATCGGTGGTGCTGCGTCACGAACGGCATCCACATTATTCTTCCTCTACGTTCAGTTCAACGACCTGACTGACGAGACGGTTGAGCATCATTCATGCGATCACCTTCCACACACAGCTCAATAATTTGATACTACGTGACACATTGCTTGCTTTCTTTGCCCTTGTACAGTGGTAGCACAAGCGCATCCTTCAATTCAGCCGGCACTTCTTTGTCAAGCCATACGCGTTGCACTAAGTGGTACAACGGGGGTCCACCGTGTTTCAACACTTTTCGTACTATCCCGTCGCCTCTGATGCACCTGCCGCTTCGTAGCTGTGCAAATACTCCCTGCGTTTCATTCAGTGTCAGTGTGTCTACAAGACAAATCTTTCTTTCCTGTTGTTACTCTGCGTGCAAACTCAATCTCTTAACCTATATTTTACAACAGTCTACGAATAGACATAGAGCCATCAGAAACCATGGGACTCAAAAGAAGGTACAGAAATAGTAAAACACAACACAACACATCAAAGTCCATGGTTTCGTCAGTGGACGAATACTACCCGGTTGCCCAAACCGAAGTAGGATATTGACTTAGGGGACACCCCCCAGCCTTTGGCTGATTAGCCTGCCCGCAAGGTAGCGGAGCGAATTCAGGGAATTGTGCCCATTGGGAGCCGGTGACTGATTGCTCAGTTCATACGCCTTTCGTTTCTTCCTTTGTCAAACAGAGGCCCAATGCTCCCCACAATTACAGCACAAAGTTGCTGGAATACACTGCTTCGCCACGATGAAGCAAGGGGCAGTGACTTTACTTAGTGGCGAGTCACGTCCGCCATGTGACAGTGTTCTTCAACGGGCACATGTGGCTTTTTATATGGAGAGCGCCTGCCAGGCGAAAACCCACCACGTCCTGGAACACTGCCGCCGAACCATTTGCTGGAACGGAAAGATCCCGAACCACTCAGCTGGCACCACGAGGAGGTTGTTCAAGAGACAATCGAATTGATTTCGCTAGATCTGCATTATGTCTGCAGTCTATGTGGAGGCAGCGCTTAAAGTAGCGTCCATTAGCGTCCTCAGCGACTGGAGTATGGGACCATACACCGCATTCAAGGGGTCAAAGTGTTCTTTGTCTCGGCGGCGTTCGGCGTAGAATTTTATCTGCTCTGCCTTCTCGTCCACCATGCATTCTGGATGCGATGGAACTCTCAAGTCAATCACCGTCTAAGCCAACTCTCTTCTAAGTTGACAGCTTCCGCTACCTGTGCAACGGATGCCGCATTCTTCTCCGACACCAATGCGCCAGTGGTTGCATTGTTGTCGTGAAACTAATCGTGCAGCTTACAGTTTGCGCGTCCGATGATTTCCTTGGCCGCAGCCATCACTCGTTCACTGATGGGGTGGCACAGTCCTCCGACTGTTGCGATGGAGTCAACATCGCTAAGGCTGGTGGCTTCCGCCTTCTCCAGCTCCATCCTGTTCTCAACATTACCTAGGAAAAGAATGTTACATTAACACAGATTCACGGCAGGTATGCAATACATAGGTTTTCAAAAATACATGTGCAATTTGGTCCGCACCAACTTGTGATCTGCGCCACGTTCATTTACACGCAGTACACATGTCATGCTCGCTTCACGCTGGCATACATTGACAGTGTCCTGCATGTATAAATGACCACTCCGTGTGTGCATCTAAATAGCAATATCACTCGCACCCAGTGCAAACCGGGTGCTGATTGTCAGGCAGTGGCACACAGTGAGAGCAACCGGTCGCCGTCCCCACTGGTTGTACCAATACTATACGGCCCAATTACGTCTGCATCACGCCGAACGCGCGCGTTTTAATCACCCAGCAGGAATATCCGGTCAGACCTGTTCAGACTGTATTACGGTGGCTAACTGTAAAACGGATCCCTCGTGTCATTTGGCCGACACATGGTTGGACCATGCGAGCTAATCTCTTCCAAGTCGCAGGCGAAGTATCATCAGTCGTAGGTTGATGCCAGTCGGATAGTGCAAATCCGACCCCATGTTCACGTGGTGCTGAGGTGGCGTTTCCCATCCAGTAGAAAGTGTAACCAGCACCAATCTCATACACCTTACCTTGGTTAGCGATCCGATTCTAGCTGAGTGCGGTAATGCCGCCCACCTAGCGCGCAAGTTCCATCGTGACCAGTGCAGTGCGTCGCTCGGCACGCTCATTCGTATTCCGGTCGAGCAAAGTGCACACGTTCCAGCAGCCGATGTTGAGTGCTTTGCGCGGAGGCATACAATTGCGGTGGCGGGCACTCGCTCTTGTGGTGCCCTGGATTGGAGGAAGTAGTGGGTTAGGTGAAGTGGGGACGGAAAGTGCATGTGCAGAGGAAGAAGGGAGAAGGGAGCTGTCATCGGTAG